AGCCAATTACACAGAACTTAGAGATTCACAATCATAGTAAAAAAATGCTAAATCAGATTGAGGAATAAGTCACTTGTGAACCTTGGAGAATCTGGGCATTCACACAGACAAGAGAGACTGATGAGTGGACCTCAACCTCCTGTTATCTTAGGCCCAACAACTGACAGGAATAAACCCTGGAAGAACTAGCACAACTCTCTCCCTACCCCCAGACCAACCAAACTCTGACAGTCATAGAACTAAGTTCCAAAATCTGAGGATTTACTGGAAAAGGAAACCCAACAGGTTGGGTGGATAATGGTGGTGAAGATGTGAAATGAATAATTAATCCTGGCTCAAGGACCTGTAGTGTCCATGCATCCGTGGTTAAAGTTACCACATGTTCAGAAATTCTCAAAGCCAACCCCGACAGACCCCAAAGGCATACAATAATCACTGACACTGCTGGCAGCATTCTGACTGAGCAGAGGAACCCTTGGATATGGACAGAATCTATTGTGGGTACCAATGTAGTGAGGGGCTGATGTTGGGGGGTCAGGACCCTCAAATAGGGGCAGAACTAAGATCTCCTGCAGGAGCCAAAGAAAGTCAAGATGCCAATGACTATAGAAGCCAACAATCAAACCAATGTAAATGCTAACATTGATTCCAGCTTGTCATCAATGAAGTTGGTGATCGTGAGAGTCATCCAACAAAGTTTAGTGTTAGGAAAACAACATGTTGGATGTCAGAGTTGTAAGTCTATAGGCTTAGCACTGTCCTATCAGGGGACATTGATCTATTCAGGTTAACTACAAACTCTGCCTTAGAACTCCTAATTTTGAGGAGCAGATGTATTATTCTAGCTAAATCACGTAGTTCCGACAACTGTGGCAGATAAGAAATAGCTGTCCCTTCACATAACTGAGCAGTGAACCTCCCTGCATTAACCACAATGACTGTTGATGGAGAGAAAACTAAATATCTGCTCATAGATCTTTCAGCCATCAAGTAAGGTGCAGGCTCAAAAGCAACTGGGGAAGGCCCAAAACATCGCACATTCAATGGACCAAGTGAAGAAAACAAATCAGGGGTAGCTTATTCCAAAGTGACCTCCATTTTTTATTTCTTTTAAAGACTGTCCTGGTTACTATTGTTTGGAACCACTGTTTGTTTTGTTAGAGCAAAGCAATGTTGGGCTATCTGCTATGTCCACTATAGGGAATAGAACCCTGGACTTCAGCAATGTAAGTCCATATATCTACCACTGTTCCACAGGGAGACTGAAAAGCAAACAGAATAAAAGAAGGCGCAAGCAAAAGAGAATCTAAATTCTCTTCAGATTGTCCACGATTACCCTCCCCCTCAGCCCTCCCTCCAACAAGAAACATCACTGAACCGAATATACGTCTCCATCTCACTATGAATAAGAATCACTGACAGTCTCAACTGAGAGTGACCCCCTCCGATTGTTGTGCGATACTAGATACAAATATCTCCAAGGGCAATTAACTGGGGTATAAAAGACTTGAGCAAACAAGAAAAAAAATCAGACCAATGCTTAGATGGGCATAGGTAGAAACCCTGGCAGTCAAGTAGTAGCTGTTGTGTGCGAGGAGGTAGGTATGTTCTGGAATATTAATTCTTTAATTTGTCAGTGGTCACTTTAGGAAGAGCAACTAGTCAAATGAAATGCTGAATTTTAATTTTGGAGCAAATACTGATTATGAAAGGCAAGAAAACAGACACATAGTTCATGATGACATTAATCATATGTACAATAACACAGAATCTGAAATCAAAACATTACTACCACCATTTGTAAGTAGCTCTCTCCTTCTGCACTAATTAGCTAGCTTACTCAGCAAATCAATTATTGAAGAGTTCTTAATGGTCCTTTTCAATTCTGAGACAACTGATGTAAATGTATAGAAAACAAAATTTTCAATTTTTGCCACTTGCTTTAGCACAGTTTGGAAACTTCATTTAGTTAAATCAAATAATATAAAATACGCATAAATCAATTTCGATTTTATAAGGTTTTTAAACTAGGCCTATTCAGTTAAATTTTCATATAGTGGTTGTTTAGACTCAGTGACTCTATTTTCATATCAATAACTATCAGCTGTGTAGTTTGTAAAATATTGATTTCAGTCTTTCCATAAAGATTTCAGAATCAATTTATAACACAAGTACAATATTATAAGACATAAATGCCCAAATGTTCCGTTATTATTCAGGGACAAAATTTGGAATCTCTACAATATTACTTACAAAAGTAATTACTATAAAGTTAGAAAATGGGTAAAACAACAGTTTGCTTGCACTCTTTCAAATCTATAAAAATTTTCTGTAAATAATAAGTAGCTTATTAGTAAATGTATTTATCAACTATAAACCATTAAATCTCAGATAGTAGGAAAAATCTGTTAAATTAGAACAATTTTGGTTTGACACAATATAACATGTAAAACATCTAATCAACTTACCTTCCATCCGTATCTAGCCCTACATAATCCTTTCTTTCAAAAGGAGCCATTAGCAGAGTGAGTTTGTCCTGTTTCTCAAAGGAACGGTCTAACCGTTTGGACTCCACAACATAAAATAGGGATGAAATAAATTCTGTTAAGTCTTCTTCAAGATGGTCACAATCATCAATAGAATTATATAAAATGCAATGGGTGCCTTTGGATTTGAGTGTAGGAGGAACAATGAGTTTTCTTGACCCTAATGATGAGGACATACTGGTAAAATCAACAGATGCACTGAAACCTCCAAAAGGACTCTCTCCTGAGCTTGGTGTGCTTACTTCACTGCTTGGACTAATATCTCTCTGGCAGCTGTCAACAGTAAATGTTGAGCTTCCCATCTGATGATCGGTATTCTCTTCATCCTCAGAAGAATGATGAGTTTCTGAGAGTATGCTTAAAGGATCTTTGTTTGAGATACGAGCAGAATCAGAATTAGCAAGAGAACAAGGCTGATCAAAGACTCCACTATCTTTATCATCTGCATTTTCTCCAATTTTTGGAATTGGCTCTAAACCTGTTCCAAACAATTTTTCAGGGCTTTCCTCCATGCATGATAAAAGTTGGCCATCTTGATCAGGTTTCAGATGAACAGAAGTTGGAGGACTTTGGTCATCTTGAGAAAACTTTTCTGAGCTTGCACTGTGGTTTGAGGAGGGTGACAAAGAGCCTGATGGAATACCAAACACCAGACATCTGGAATCTAATACTGTTATATCATACTTTTCCCTCAGCAGGTTGTGATATTTACACAATTCTTCCAAATCTGACTGATTTCCACATTTACCTGAAAGTAGTTTACTCTTGTATGAACACAATAAGATAAATAATGTCAAAATAGTGATACAATAATCAGTACATTAATAACATAATCATTGTAAAAATTGGAAAATTACCCATGAAATACAGAAATACGTACATGTGAACTTTCAGCAACAAAATGTTACTATTAACATACATTTTGTTAATGGATTTAGTCTTGATGACAAATTTTTATTCAAAGTAATATCATATGAATTAAGATTTACTTTCATAATACTTGGTACCTGATACTATATTATGCAAACAAGGTTAACATCAATTTTGTTATTTATTACATATAACTTTTATAATTATATAAACTCATTTGAATAACTCAAGTTACATAACAAGTTTTGTAATAACAATCCTGAATTTTAACATGTTTACTTAAACACAATTCTTGTATTAGTAATTATATCTGACAAATCAATGAAGACTGTATGATAGTGCAGAAAATTTTAACAAAAGAGAAACATTAAAATTGTCTTAAGCCAGAAATCAGAAATTAATAGATAAAATTATAAATTATTTATAAAAAACAGAGAGAAAGCTATGCTTCAAACATACATTCACTTTACAAGTAACCTACCACACCCACCTTGCCAGTCTGTGTGATTAAAAAAAAAACTGACAGAATATTCATATATAAATTGTAATAGGTTTTCTTTGTACTTGCATTTTAGTGGTCCGTGACAGTTTATGAAGGTAGTGAGCCAGTCTCTGGTGTTGAAAAGGTTAAGAAACGCTGATTTTCATGGTTTACGTTATGTTTGCAATAAGCTATTTCCATATGAAGTTGAAACTAAACTATACCTTAAACTTCACAACCTTAATTCTGAAGCTGAAATTAGTTGTGTTACTGTTTTGTAACAAGGCTAACAGATGTATAGTGAACTTCAATGGTAAAATCTATAATGAGACCAACTCTTAAGCTATATAAGAAAAGAGCTATATTTAACATCATAAATTCAATAATTAGCTTACAAACTGATCATAATGATATCTTACACTGCCTTTGTTACTCTACATAACTGGTCTCCACTGATATTATGCCAATTTACTTAAAATTACTTACTGTATTCTTGAATAAAGTAGAAAAAATCTTAACCAGATGTATAATCTCACTTGTATGAATGATATAGCAGTGATGAATTACATTATATTCTTTGCTATCTTCTTGCAGGATCAAGACATGTTTTAATCACTTCAAATATTTGCAAGCGAACAGTTGCAATGGAAGATTTAAAATTTATTTGATATTTTTCTAAGAATGTAGGTTCTAAAAAAAACAATGGATAAACTAAAACATTCTAATTATAAACTATTATAGTTCACACAATAGGTGTCATTTCTGAAGAACATTAATTAAAATAGCAAACCTGGAAGATATATTAATCAACATAAATGACCCTTTGTTTTTTATTGATATTTCAAACTTGAATATTCTTCTAGCCTTAATATTATGGATGCTCCACTATGAAAGTAGTTCAATTACTAATTACTTGTTTTCCAAAAATATAACAATTATTTTTTTTACTTATCTAATTATATACCTTCAAACATCACTTTTGAGATGACTTACAACATAGACAGATACATGATAAACTACTTACATTGATTCTGTAAACTCTGCCAATCCTTGGCCTAATAATTAGATGACTGGTCATTATAAAATAAGATACAATAATAGTTATGTTCAATGTGTTCAGCACTATCATAAAAATGACTATTCTTGAATGAAGGTAATGTTTTTTTTAGTGATAAGCTTTCACTTTGTTGCCTTTGACAGATCCACAATTACTGTTTCACAGCCATATCAGACCAAGCTAAAACTTAGGAAGAAATTCCGTTGTGCACATTGTGAATCGTCTACGTACTGGGAGTAAAAAATCATAAGGTAAATGGGTAAAACCCTTTTAGTGATGCAAATAACATTACTGTTTACAATTTGAGAGTAATAATCTCACAGTCCTAAAAGAATTAACTATTCATTGTTAAATTGAATAAAAAAATAAAGAGCAACCCTGGGGGTCTTAGAGACACATTAGGGGGGGGGGGCAATTTTGTGGGCATTTCTTAGGTCAAAGAATGTAGTATAACTTCCTAAAAAAGGACAAATCTGGATATTATTTTACGAGATGTTGGAGTTTTTATGACCCTTGTGAGCTTCTGTAACATTGATACAATGTTGACGTTGAAAAACTAAGTTAAACTGTTTAACATGTGGCCAAAAACATGATAGTTGTTTCAGACTTATCTAAATCTCAAAACTGCTCTATTCACTATCACTATTGCCACCTCCTAGTCTTCAATGTCATTATTTGAAAATTATTTCCTCCACATTGTCTGGCAATTAGATGTCACCCACTTTGGCTTCACATCACTTGTCCAGCCATGTTCTAAGATGACTTCAATGTTAAAACTGTTGATATCTCCTGATCACCACTTTTCCTCTATAATATTTGCTCAAAGTGTATCTAGATAGAGGGATGCTTTGCATAATGGCAATACAGACATATCACAGATCTTCTTTTGCTGGCCAAACTTTCTATTGGACATCTTGTATTTTGCTGCATTCACCCTTTCTTCTTTTTTGCTCATGCATATAAGAAACGTACTCCTCAATATCTATAAGCAACTAGACTTCAAGAACCTAGGTTACAGAATATCTCCAAGAAATTTGATTTCTTCTCCAACAATCTCCAATATAGCTTACCTTTTAGATAAGAGCTGAACCGTAATTATTGGTGAAAGCATGAAACCTGATCAGTGTTTTCTTGCATTGGAGTTAGATCAATATTCCCTTAAAATGAGGGAGAAAAGATATAGATCGATATTTTTGTCATATCAAATTGAGCAGAAAAAGAACAGCAAGAAAATGCTTCAATGTAATGACCTTGCCTCACATTACACCTTGAATAATATCATTACAGTGTGGTCTAACTACCAGCTTTACCTTCTCTTAATTGGGATGCTCAGTTGACTTCATTGGGTTTTATAAGATTTTTCACTTCATTCAGCACACCACACTCTTGTTCTTTTAGCTTGTTTCTATAGGGGATGGGGGCAGGGACAGGAAAGCCCAGGTAACAATTCAGCAAGCTTTAGTATATATATTCACAATGGTACTTAACAGCTAATTGTATTATGATCTCTCAACTTTTTTTTTAAAGTTTCACTCAAACCATTTGCATTAATAATATCTTGGAGCATCTTTCCAACAATGATTAAAAATTTAATGTCACTGTCAAAACAGTTTCTCCTTCAATTCGTTTCTGTATCCAGTACTCCTGGTATGTCTGTCACAATAGATTTCATACACCTTAGAAATTGATATAGCTTGGTTCAGTTCAATTACATTTTCTTAAAAAAAAAAGTGTTTGCTGCATTGAAGTTTCCTTCATTTTCTGCAACTGTACTACCAGTTTACTCATCATGTGTTCTCGTGTGGTAGTTATGACAAACAAGTCTAGATCACGAATGTTTAACAAAATACTGTTGTTATTTTCCTATTCTCCCACTTTTTTATTCTTTCTTTATCATTTTTTGTTCCTAAAGACAATAGGAGCCACTTTTCTCTTTCACACACATTTGCAACAACAAACAAACTTTGGGAAATTGCAATCTATTGCCATTCAGCTAATCTCTCGATCATGATGGCCTCATCTCAGTTTCACATTTGTATTTGTTTCTTTATGTTTAGATTGAAAAATAAAAAGGATGAACTTTTTATAACTTGAAGTTATATGCACACCAGATTTGTTTAAATGGATTTTACTTAATGCTGCAGTATGATGTTCTACATGTACATTTTTCTCACCCAATTGTTCCCTAAGTCACTTTGGTTCAACTATTCTTTCATATGTTTTCTCATTTAACAGTACAATGGTGCTGCAGTAACAAAAATTTTGATTCTAAAATTGTTGGGATGGAAAAAGATTATAAACTAAAGAGCATTTGGAATGGGAGGAAAATCTTTGGCTTCCAGTGGGGCTGTAACTTCTAGGTGGAAGACATCATTTCACCAACTTATTCAGTTCTATTCTTCCTAAAGCCATAATATAATCTATAGATGTTACTTCTTGAAGCAAGATAAGTCATGAACAGGATACTGTTCTGTGCCGTAAGGAGTATACAGTAGATTATCTAGTTCCATATAATGCACATAATGGATTACTGATCAGAGACTGTGATTAGTACTTTGAGCTGTAACTAACCTCCTGTGGATCAGTTGGTGCTCTAGGCTTGAAAAGGAACATCGTAGGGAGCAGTGAAGTGTTTTAGTGTGCAAGCTGGTTATAGACACACTGCTAGTCTGTACCCAAAGGGGTAGAGATGAATAGCCTTTCACTAATCAAGTATAAAACTGCTTCTAATGCTCAGCTAACCTTCCTTGACATCTAGAAAATGGGCTGCAAAACATAGATTTTTCTTTTCCATCAGAAGTAACTCATAAATTCCATTTTCAACCAGGCCCATCCCTACATAGGGATCGCTACAATGCTCCCTGATATCTGAATTGTAATGGACTACACATTGAACATCTTTGGTAGAAGTAATCATTTCAACTTATAGTTGTATGTAAGATGGAAATTGCATCTTATATCTCAGCTTTATAAATTATCCATTGCTGCTAAAAAAGGATCTCTTACTAAGCAGAATAAATTATATATATAGCCTTTCTATGATGTTTACTGATACTTAAAAATTATATCAGGAATGTTTTATACTGTAAATATTTTCTTAAATCTGATCTGAAAACACCTTGATGATTTTGAAATGTTGATGAAATTCTGTAATATTGTTTATCTTCTGTGAACTTGAATCAGAAGTGAACTATAATTATTTGGTTTCAGGACTAGACACAAATTTTTGGATGTGATTTTAGGCCAAGCAACAGAAATAAATAATTACCAAATCTGCAAAATGCACTTATACACTTAATTCCACAATTCAATAATCTTTTCATTCAAATCTTTCTTTTTCATGTCCCAACCTGAAGCTTTAATGGAAAAAGAAGTTCAAGTGATGATTGACAACAGGACTGACTTCTTGCCTCAATTTCATTCTGTTCAGTCACATTTACACAATTAACTAAAAGGTCATGATAATCTTGTTTATTAGGTTGATTTGTAAGTGATGACCAATAATTAAATAAATTTATTGACACACTCTCATGAATGCTCTCCTTGGACATAGGTTATTCCTGTGATTCAATTTAACAATAAATAGTCACATTTCTTCAGGATTATGAGATTAATACTCTCAAATTACAAACAATAATACCATATACACCACTAGGTTACATCTGGTACCAAAGTTGTTTCCTTATCTTGGAAAGTCCCAGGTTTTTGTCTGATTACTTCCCCATTTTTTGTTCCCCTTAGGTAAAATATTCATATACTGCACACTAGAAAGCCTTTCAAAAGCGCTCGGGTTATAGGGATTTAATTCATTTCTATCAAGACTTCTTGAACCTACATGTTTTTATAACATCATGAATAACCTACTATTATTAATTACATTGAAAACATAGTGAGTTGTAGTGTATCCTGATTTTCAACTCTCACATTTTATGTGCAAGCACTGAAGAATTTTCTGTTAAGGAACTATAGACTGTGACATGATTTAGTGATTGACTGGTTAGGCCTAAGAGGGTAGGTGGCTACATTCAAAAAGAATAAAAAGTTCTGACATGTAAAACAATTACCATAAACTAACCCTTTCACTCAGGCTTGGTCCCAAGGACCAACCTCGTAACCATTTTGTGCTTGTTATAGTTTTAATACAGTATATGCATCTTCACAAAATTTTACAGATTATCGTTAAACATAATAAGGCTTTCATACACAAAATATCAGATTTTAAATAAGTTTCAATTGTTTTTCTTAAAACATAAAACAGTAAATAAAGAAATATAGAAAACAACGATCTCTACTACTTACAATTGTAAAGACGTTTGTACTCACTTGCCATACCTGGCATGCCAAGTCTTGCTGAATTTTGCACATGGAGGATGTAAAACGTATTTAGGTTTTATATATGCATTTGGAAATAACAAAAAATTATAAATTACTCTATGAATATGACAGAATTCCACTGTAATTTATCAGGCTTACTAACTAAACTGTATTTGGGTTCTAACAAAAATATCGTCTTTTAAACACCATTTTCTGATACCCCTTCCTTCCAAGATTGGAAACAAAAGACTAAGCTTTCAAAATACACACCTTAAAAAGGCTGAGAAAACCAAATTGGGGAAATTTTGAGATTTTGGTTGGTTATAAATACATGATAGAGTGAAGCAGTGTACATAAGCAAGTATTTCCAAAAATAGGAGAGGTGAGCAGAGCCAACATGTTTATTTTGCTAAATATAGTGATATCTCAGCAAATAGAAAAGATAGGAAGTTCTTATTTGATATTCTAGCTTGTCAATATTGGTAATTTGAGTTTCTAATTTTAAAACTATAGACTTTGTATTTGGACATCACAAACATCTAATCTGAACCAAAGCTGCATTCAACATACCACATGACACACAAAAACCAACATTTAGGAATTTTGTTTAATATTTACTTTTAAATTTATAAATTAACTAATGTATAAAACTAAAATTTGAATCATAATCAACAATTTGATACCAAACTTATTGCCATACATTCATAAAATAGTAGTTCAATAAAATTTAAAATGTAAGTCTATAAACTTTAATATAAGTTTTGTCATCAAAACCTTGTCAAAATGTTGTACATTTGCTGTTTTGTTCAACTTATATTAAAGTTTTTCTTCATTACCCATTCAAGCCACCTCCAAGCATTATTATTCTCAAAGTGGGTTCCTCATCATCAAATTTAATTCTATAAATGTTATGATATGCCCTTTGACCCCTGACCATAGGGAAACCCATAGCAATAAAATTAAAGGAACGGGTGCATGTTGGGAAAAATATTATTCAATTCAGGTATCACGAAAATGTCTTGAGATGTTCCCTTGCAGTTTCATGTTGTTGTTTTTCAAGGTCACTGAAAAACAGATCTTAGATGTAAAATTACTTGAAGCAGGCATAGCTTCCAGTCTTTTATCAATTATGAGAAATTGTTTCCACATATTCACTTATGAACATAAGTCACCAAAGAATCCACCTACCCAGACACAGCACTCCTAAAACTTTTCGATGGGTTTGGAAGTCTCCCCACTCGTTGCTTTCCATGGAGTAGTGTTTTTTATATCGAACCCACACCACTCTTTGTCCTCCTGCTGCCTGTGAATCTGGTACTTTGACATATTGAAGACGTGAGATTCTGTCATACACTTTATTGAAATTTTTAGAGCTCATATGCAAACCTACAGATGATAAACACGCCACATTAATAATCAACAAACAACTTTAAAACCAAAAAATAAAATAACATTTCATACATTCATATACAGATAATTTGCATATGCATTTAATAAAGACTAATAAAAATGTGAAATATCCGTAAACTGAAACTGTTCAATACAAAGCTTCTAATTTTCATAAGGTACAATTAAGAACTGCATGATTTCACACCAATCTGATAATCCAAAACAAGTATTTGTTCAAGATTAGTAACTGACAGACCAGCTGCATGCATTAACTATATTTATCAATCCAAGTAGACTGGATAAATTTGTAAGTATATTTACTGTACACATTACTTTTATTATATACTTTACCCAACCAGTAAACCAGGTTAATGTACTGCACTAATCCAGAAAGCAGTAGAAATAATTCAATATTAATCATGCTTATTAACTGCTGACAAAATAGTGTGAGAAAGAAATTTTTAAAGAGGCTACATAAAGTTTTCCAATGACATGCTTAAAGCATGTTTTTCTGGATCAAATAAGTTTAAGTTTTTTTTTTGTATAAATTTGAAGATATGCAGGTTATGATTGACTTGAAATTTTATAGCTACAATATTTCATTAAGACCTGGACTAGTCACTCCCTGCAATTACACTGGTCTTAATAGTTGTATTTCTACTGGTCTTTATGTTGTTAAACATTTAATCATTATAAACTTGACACAATAAAAAATAATAAATTTTTAATGATATTACCACATAAAGCTTTGCAAAAATAGCATACTTGACAAAAGAAATTGACATAATTATAAAAAATTCAAAAATCTTAAAAACTGTATTAATTTCTATAAAAAAATAACATTCTGGAAAGATATGTTTTATTCACTAGTTTCAAATTAAAGTATCTAAATATACATACATTTCGAATTAACAAACTTTATACCATTTATAGAAGTAAATCATTTAGGTACAAAGACGATTGTGAAAAAAAAAATTTTTGCAGATTTTTAATTTGAAATACATGTAATAACTTTTATTTTGTTTAAGTTTTATTGATATATTAAACTTTAATTGTCAAAAAAAGAAATCAGTGAAAAATGTACTTTTTTAACCTATATGCAAATATTCTAAATGAAAAGAAAATTGATAAAATACAAAACTAAAAAACTGCTTTGAAACTAAAACAAATATATACTTCTTACAATATAAACTTTTTTAAAAAATAAAAATTATCAAATCATGGTAATTACATTTCATATGATTAAATGCTCCTTTCTTACCTTTGTATTTTACTAGAATAAGTAGAGTACGATGGTCTTCTACCTTTTGATTATAATCTGGCCCACTCATTTTCAGTTATGAAATTTATCTATGATGTGTGAGCATTAAATCTTTTGTTTTAAAAACTGAATTCATTCTAGAATAGAAAAGAATAAATTCTGTGAACAGAATATCAAAACTCTGAATCACACATCAAATTAACAGCAGAAAGGCCAATATAAAAATACTTAGACAGCTAAGATAATAAAGAAACATAACAAAATTAACACATGTACTGCAAAGGTAACTTTACATTTTTAAAATTATAAAACTATTATTAAATATTATTTAATTATTTAATAAATATTAAAAGCCTTTTCTTCTTCAGTTACTTTAATGCTGTCAACATCAATGCGACTTTAGGTTCTGAATATCCTTGATGCAATGCAAAACACACAAGTTCATCCAGAATTCTTCACTCACATTTTCCACATGATTTATTGCACATGTATCAGGACAACGTACATAAACACTGATTTTCCATCATAACTAGATTTCTTTGTAAAGATGATAAAATTATTCCTCCCAGTTGTGGGTAGGTGGGTGGAAAAGTATTTCAGAAGTAATCACTTGATTGAAATCCATTTTAGTTCTGATAATGCAATATGAAAATCAGGTAAACTTATCTATGAAATACTAGAATAACCACAATGAAATGGAGTAGGGAACTGGAGAGTGACATAAGCAACAATATTTCGTCAAAAGTAAGCAAAGTAGCAATAAATAAATTAAGATGTCAACCAGAGTTTCAGTACAATATAGAACAAGAGCAAGGACCAAAGGGCTGGATTCAAAGGAGAATCACCAGGATTAGTTAAGCCTCATAAGAGATTGGACCAAAGAGAGGATATTAAGAAAGACACCTTAAATGGTACCTTCTCAACCTGGACATCCATTAATAATATGTTCATATAAATGGGGTTGGTTAGTAATAATATAACTCATGGAATTGTGAATGGGCATCAAGGCATCATCAGCCATCAGATAGTCTTCTGTGCATTTCCAGAGTGCATCATTTTGTTATGGAGCTCAGTGTAGAGAATGGAAGTTTGTCTATGAAAAATGCAGAGTTATGTGTGGCATGCAAGAGTCTTGACTGAATGAATCAAGGTATCCATACACAAGGTCTCATATTAAAAGGAGAAATATTGACTGCTTTTTCATTATTGTTGATGTTATTATTGTTCTTTAATAATCCTATAACTCTTCAACCTCAGACACTTCTGGAAATGTTACCATAGCTGTTGGGTGGTACAGAAACACAATGATTGCCATATGCAGTATAGGTGCGAGCCCAAATAGATAACAAAGAACAGGGATTCTACCTGTCTTGAACTATCGCAACCTGAGGCAAATGGAATCTCAGAACTAAAGAGACAGCAAAATGGTATAAATAAATTTTAAAGAACGTATTTTGATTTGTCCACATGCTGACCTGCCTCACTTCTCTATGGGTACTGTGACTAGAATGCCTCAGACATTACCAAATGGCATCTTTAGAGAGATATAACCTGATACTCACTCACAAGGAATTTGTGAACATCAGAGGAAACAGGATGAATCAATTGCACAAGCCAATTTGGCTGGAGCAAGATCCAAGAAGCGTGATTCAATGTATGGTGAAAATAACTTTATTGAACCATCCTGAAAACTTTAGTATGGGATAAATAACAAACAGCCATGACTGGACATGACTTTCTTCAGAATGAAAGTCAAGATCAGAAAGGGTAGGTAATACAACAGGTGAAATAACTGTTACCTTCTTTTACAACTCAAGTTTAGGTGGTAAGGTGCAACCTGGGAATGAGGCCTTCATAGATAACATGATACATGAAGTTTTAAATATGCAGAAATAAAGGAATGTTTCAGCCTGATGCAAGCATTAAAAGAAAGTACATTTTAAGGATTAGATGATAGAACAAACAAACTACTAAGGGTTCAAAAGAGGAAAAATCTTGGGATCACTGAAGACAATAGACTCTTAAGAGGTCTTTGAACAATAAAGACAAGAGTGATGGTTTGTGTGGCATCTGAAAGTGGCAAATAAAGCAGCTCTGGAACCAGCTATAAAAGTAGATAAGCCATAAACGTGAAACTAAAATATGAAGGAAAAAAAGCAATATTTGAAGAGTTAGACACAAACAAGAAATCTTATGACTAATGCATAAACTCCTGAAGACAGCCTAGTAGGAAAAACATTGGCAAAAGTGAGCTAACAGTTAAAACACTCTAGAAGAGAATCTGTCTTCTCAAACAAAGTATCTAGCAAGAGCCAGACATGTAGATGTCAAATATTAGTGTGAAAAAAGAATGTTTGAGGTTGCCAAAGATGTTCCCAAGGCAATAATGTGACTGGTTCTTTGTGAGAAAGCTGACATAACAGAAGAAGCCTTGGCTGAGCTAGCCAGAGTAGAACAATGAGGATAACCTGGCACCTCAGTTATCTTGGTAAGCATGCAAGCAAAAAAGTGAAAAGGAGGTTAGGTATAAAGAAATAAGTTCTTCACAAACCAAATTGGCCATAACCAGAGAATAAGATTTAGAACTGGAGACCACTAGGGTGGAAAAAGAGGGAGGTTGCAAAAGCACTGATCATCAGATGACCCAGACATTCAAATAGCCACTGAAAAACCAAAGGTTGGAGAGTCCACTCTATTAGGAGAAGATGACAATCCCAAGAAAGGGACTGCCAAAAACAGCAAAGAAACTTCAGTAAAACAAATGCTACAAGAATGAGTTCTGTCCTACCCCAACAATGTGCCTCAACTACTGAGGAGGAATGTGTGAAAAGATGAAGGATTAAAGGATGAGGGAAAAAGGAGATCCCTTTGATGTAAGCTCTAGAATCAACCCAAACTGGAGAAACAGGAGAGAGACAAGTGAGAAGCAAGGGCCACTGTGTCACATGTAAGTGCACCAAAAGGGAATGACAATGTGAAACCATCATCCCCAAAGCAGAAAGAGTTTCTTGGCTGTAATTGCACAAGATTCCAAAGCTTGTAATGTCTAGCATTCCTTAAAATGTGTTGATCACTCAAAAGATGTAGCCAGTTGGGTGGTCATATGAATATGTGAAAGAATGAACAGACAAAAGGGTAATAATAAGCCAATGGTCTGGGTAAAAGTCAATGCAAAACAAATAAAGATGACCATCTAAACTAGAATACTCAACAGAAAGTGCATAAGCTACCCTCAATAGTAAAATATAACAGGATGGCATATGAATATTGGAATGAAGAAAGGCATTCTGTAAATCCATCATAGTCATCCAAAGGCTGTGGTGACGAACCTTCCATATCAACATCATGTCATTCATTTGAAAATGAAGTATCTAAAAGAAAGACAAGTCAAAACAGGTCTCCAATGTATAATTTCTTCAGAAAAATATGGAAGCAGAAGTAAACTACTGGAGTAGTATCATGACTGATTTCAACTTCTCCTTTATGAAAGAGGTTTATGACTTCCTGATTCATAAATTATAAGCCACTAGACTGGAAGGAAAAAGAAAAGACAAAATATAATAAGGACAACCAACTTCAAGTGCAATAGATCAGAATCCAAAATGAGATATTCTGAGATGATGATGAACTAATATGATTCAATACTCAACTGAAAAATGCTCAGACTAAACATACAAGTATTATGCTGATTAAGTCACACAATCAGAAATGATGTAGAATGACTCTTGTGGCAAACAATGACTTGATAGAACAAAGACAAAAACATGCTAGGCACAGTAAAATTCATTATGCCTACAAAATGGCTTTTAATGCTGAAAATTGAAAGACACAACTGGAGAGAAATTACAGCTTTAGTTGGTAATTCCATGGTCGGGCCTTGTGGTTAAGTTGCTCAACTTGCAATATGTGGATCACAGGTTCAAATTGTTAATTTCCTTTCTACAAAAATTTATTTCTCTCATAGTTTCCTAAATTCTCCTTAAGAACAAGTTTCTTCCTTTAACCAAATAATATGCTTAAAGTTCTATCAAACCCCATACTGGAGAAGTAATATTGACTATAAATTCCAAAATTACAATGTGTATCTACATGACATGTAGCAAGCTTACAGTAAAATGTACAAGTCTGTTGTACATAAAATAATCAAACGTGTTACAAAAGTATTTGTGCTTGAGATATGTCTGTGAATTGATGACATCAGTCTGAAAGTCAGAGTGAAAGGTGATGTTCATGTGAAGAATAAAAGTACTTTTGTCCATCATACAGTTTGCATATTGGATAACCTCTAAAGCCTCTGAAATACACATCTACAGTTGTTTTCAGTATCTTTGGATATTTTACCTGGTATTTACATTTTTTTTACAATCACCTGTCACTACATCAGCAGTGTAGAGTAAAATGAATAACTGACATCAAATACATAATACCATGTTGAATGGCCCTCTGTAAAAGGTTGTGTCATGCACACTTTGATGCTCACCCATTCACATTAGTAATTTCTTATACTTGGGTACCTCTTTCAGAAAATTACTAACTTAAAAGTGCTGAAGTTTAATTTAAGGTTATGGTTTAAAAATGTACAATAGTGTCACTAATGAAGTTCAATGTTTAAAAAAATATCACTAGTGAGACCCCTCCATATACATTAAAAGTTTTAAAGGTAATGACACTAGTCAGGTTCTTGTACAATCTAGTTCTATATTTCTATTAATCCTCAGTCATTGGCAATATATGACCAATCAGATAACTGAAAAACACAGTTATCACCTATTATCTTTAATCGAAATTGCAATAAAACATCATCTCATTACTGTGGGGCTGTGTCTATAGCATTTGTAAACCCTAAAAACACATATCACATATATATTTTCAAAATCTATTCTTTGTCGCTTTCTTGTAATGAAATTTAATGTAAGGCATGCAGAAACAAATAGAATGACTCCAAGTTTAGGAAGTTTTAGCAAGAACATAGACACAATATGTGAAGCAAAATGCTCACATTAAAATGTGAAAACTGTTGGCCTTGTAAATTTTTTAAAGCTCAAAATATAAACATCTACACTTTAACTTTACTATCACAAATTCTGAATTTTTTTAATAAATATAAAAAATACCATAAAAACTAAGTTAAATCATGTCTTTAACTTTACATTATTCTTGTTGTATACTTAGAAAACTAAATACAGTGATGCTGACAGGTTAATTAAGTACTAACCAGAAATAGTTAACATACTCATGATTCTAGTGAAAAACAAATTAAACACTAAACCAGCAAAATGTAGGAGAAACAATGAAACTATTCATGTCATTTGTAAACAAAATTTGAACACAAAGTGAAAAGCTACTGTACTGCATAAAATGAAAAAAAAAAAGTTAATTATCTTCAAATTAAAATGTGATCTTGATACATGAAAATAAATTTGAACCACCTTTCGAAACAACTAAAAAATATGTAAAGTTAATTTGAATTACGGTTTCCCAACACAAGCATTGGGAAAATCATTTATATGAATCATGGTCACACTAGTACTACTAGTAGTAGTAATAGTACTACTACTAGTCATCAATATAATAACGTTAAGCCTAAACTTTGGGCAAGGCAAAGGAAAAATAATTATCATTCACAACTTATTTTCAAGATTCGTTAATGCTTATGCTCATTTCATCTAAGAATGACACAATACTTCATAAGACAATTAAATCACGACATATTCCAGAACTTCATCAAAAAAGTACAGAATATAACAGAGTTACAAACTATAGATAACTTACATTTCAACCATTTACTTTCCTATTATAGGTATCGTTTAACTTCTCGTGTTGTACGAGAGAGCGTATAGGTGTCGCAGAAACATCCTTTGCAAGTTAATGTTTACGTGGTAGTGATATCCAAGTTACAATAGAAGAAGTATTCGAAATAGTTAAATGAAATATATTTGGCAACAGTCATTTAAGTGTACTAAGTCAAATGCTGTTGTAAACGTACGACGCTTAAATACAAGTTGTTGTGTCACTTGCGTTGTAAATTAGTATTACTTTAACTGTTTAAGTTGCACAGTATTACTAATAGTAATACTAATAATACTACCACTAATTAGTGTTAGTAATAACTAATAGTAATAGTACTCACTACTTTTATTACTAGTAGAATTAGCCTTACTATAGTGTCCATAATATATTCGTTAACTTCAGCGTCTACGATGAAGGCCACTGACTTTGTATCATCGTATGTTAGAAAAATTCCATATACTACTAGTACTCTAGTAGTAGTACGTATTGCTTCTTAATACTAACAGTAATAGCAGGTAAGTACTCAATAGGCTTAAGTTTTTGAAGATAGATATTTATTATTATAAGTATAATATGTTAATTTTGTGCATAAGTTAGTTTGTTATATAATTTTGTAAATTAACTTAATCATTAATTAGTAGACCTTTCAACATCATTATTCTTTACTTGTAATATTATACTTGGCCTAATGAAAAAAAAATCATCTTTTTGGATTTGAAGTTAAACTACAGCACAAAAGACATTTTTTTGTTGTTGTTTTTTTCTGTACAGCAAAATAATTGTACACAACTTGAAGTATTTGTAAGAATGCTGAAATTGTAAAAATTATCTAAACAAAAAGGAAGGGGAATGATAATTAAAGAAAGATGCTCACTTTTTTTATTGGATTGAGTGAATATCTTCAATGTTTAATATTCAATCAAGAATAATGATTTTGCCCAGAAGAATAAGAAATTCCTGAGTTTATGTTCCATGATGATTATAAGGTTTCTGTAAACCAGAAGACTGGCTCTTACAACATGCCATGGTGTGCTGATAAGGCACTTAAAAATAGTTTGAATATTGATAGTTGACAAAACAAGTGAATTGTCATCTAATATTAAGTATTATAATGACTTTGCAGCTCACATTTAGAGAAACACTACTCTTAACAGATTTTTCTGTGTTAAATTAAACTACTTTATAGTGGAATATGCTATATATTTAGTATAAACTAAATGCCTTACTTTGTATCATAATGTTATTAGACGGAAGTCGAACAAACTTGAAGGCCAGAGTTCTTCATTATAGATATACTAAATATGCATGTAATTATATTAAATATGGTAACTGTTATTTTATGCTGTATATTAAATTTTAATTTTAGTGTCTTATTTTGAATCTTCAGATTTTGATAACATTAACAAATTACCTGTAATTCCAGAGTCGTATCTAGTATGTAGTGGTGTAGAATCCAAAGACAAACTTGAAGGCCAGAGTTCTTCATTATAGATATACTAAATATGCATGTAATTATATTAAATATGGTAACTGTTATTTTATGCTGTATATTAATATTTTCAAGTTAAACAATGCATTATAAATATTATATTAAATTTTAATTTTGGTGTCTTATTTTGAATCTTCAGATTTTGATAACATTAACAAATTACCTGTAATTCCAGAGTCGTATCTAGTATGTAGTGGTGTAGAATCCAAAGACTAATTTGTTGTGTGCATCTCAAAGTTTTACAACTTAATGTTTTGTTTTTGTTTTTTCATTAGAGATAATTTCTTACAGCCAAACATGCAACTTTCATCGGTATAAAGTATTTCAATATGAGCATGTCAACTTGATTACAGATATACTATATGACACTTGGTGAGTCAGCCTCCAAGTCTGATAATGCCACTGAGTCATATTGTATGAGTTTGCACGATTGATATCATCATTGCACGAGCTGTTCCACAAGTTTAACTGATAAATTACTTTGTAAAAAAATTCTGGACTTCTGACACTTATTATTCTAAAAGTCAAGCTCACCTTTGCATTCCATCAATAAACACACCATTCACTGAAAGGTAAAGGAAATGTTAACACTTGAAACAAATCATCTTTTGTTATTCTTCAACCTAAATAGGAGACACATCAAAATCTTTAACTTTCCCTTCCTATAAGATCCTGCCTCTTTTGGCATGTTACATTCTTTCTGTTGTAACTAAACCAAAACTGTGCATAGTATCTTAAATGATATCCTAGTCCTATCAAGATTTTATGAAAGATTGTAGTAATCTTCTTACTCTTAAAGTTATAAAATTAGAACCCATAAATCTTATTAGCTGTTTTAACCACAACTACATACACTGCAGAAGAATCATAAACACTGTGAAACTCTAACTCATAACTACAGCTAAACCAATGCTGAAAAATCACACTTAAATTCTTAGCAACACCAATAATTTTCTCATACAAGTAATTCCTTTCTAAGTTAAATTACCATAAATGTATCACTTTACATCATTCTTTGTATCATTCTTACCCAGTCACTGTGACTTTCAAGGGACTTTTGAAGGAAGGGTACATTCTAAACATAATAAATCCTTCCCAACATTTTAGTATCACTAGCATATTTGGAAATATAATTTGTTGAAAAGCTATTGAAATTGTTAACTTTAAATTTAATAACAAACATGAAAGGCTGCAAACAAGACATATTATACACGTATATCTTGACCCTGTTAATTATATTCCTCCAACCAAGGAAATCCCACTCATTATGTTTGAAATCTAAACTTTATCTTTCCACTTCATAAATTTTCTACTTATTTTTTAAAGGTCCAATTTAAATATAATAATTAATTCAATGTCTGGCATCTCAGTGTAAGCTTTCAGATGGTCAGAATACTTACTATCAACTGTATGTTCCAAACTGCTCAAAGAAGTTCATAAAGCAAGAAATTATTTCTGAAAACATCCAAATAATTTTTAACGTAACATAAACTTTTGAAATGCTTAAAGGGCTGGAAATTAGCAGTGGAAAACTGGCAAATAACTAGTGGGTTCTAGCGTTTGGCCAGTGACCATCAAGGGGCACTGGTATTTGATAATCTTGGCATGATTTTGAATATTCAGTTGTAAACATTGGTCAAAATAATTTAAAAAAAAAAGAGCTGGCTGCAAGCATAACATTTTTGGGAATTAAAACACTACAATGATCAATAATTATTTTGTGGTAGCTTGTTGTGCAATATGCTTGTGTTATCTTTCAGTGTGATTCTTTAAGTTTAAAATGTGTGTCCAAGTAATGTTTCAGTTTTTTATATTTCCTGTTAGGCAATATAGTTAATATCATAAACGTAATCTAAAATTTAATAGTATATTAAAAACATGATGCATCCTCAAGATTCACATCTACTGACTAAATATATCTGCTAAGAGCATGCCATTTATGAATCTTTTGATTTTGATTTGAGCATAGCTGACATTTTTGCATACAAGTTTCATATTTTGGCAAACATTTGTTTGTAGAAAAAAAATTTAAAGCCCTGCTTAATAAAAATAAACATTTCAACAATGAACTTATTAAATGCAAGCTTTCAAGCCTTTTTCTGAGATGAAATATGAATGTTACATTTAACATAACAGTGTGGAACATTACATTAGGCACAATGTGCCATAAACAAAGAACATATAACACTTGGTACATTATATCAATAAACTAAATAATTATATCTAGACATGTGAGTAATCGTAATGAAAACTGCATAAAATGATACATTAGTTTTATTCATATAATATACCAAACATTCCAAAAAGTTTCAAATAATTTAAATAGAAATCTAACAAAGGTCAAAAGAATTAATTACTACAAGTAAGTATAATTAATTCGTGTAACCCAATAAATATATATATATATATATAGAACTGAGGTACAACACTAAGATGCTAGAATTTTATTCAAAAGTTCACTGATGCGTATTCTGCTCTGGTCACAATTCAAGCCATGTTATTGGATTCGTCCAGAATTTATTGTTTTGATGTATGTGGCTTCAGAAGCCTTATCTCTCTTCTTGTGGTATTTGGTTCATTGTCAGTTACCTCTACTTCAACCCACTGAATTTTTTCTTTGTAACTAAATCAATATACAGCAACAGCCGGTTTTTGCCTCATCAGAAAGGAAGAGAAGGTCTTCTTGTGTTCATTATTGCAAAGCTGAAGAGGCCTGCTGGTTGTGTTAATTTATGCTTTTCACGATCACATTTATCAAGTTTAGGTATCATCTCATTGGTTAGTTAAAAGTTTTTTAAGGTGTTATTTTCTTTTAAAGATGATTCAAATGCAACATTTTATCCAAACACATTGAGGTTTATGCCCAAGTTCTAAATGAAAGGACAACTTAGTAGATAGTGGTTCATATAGCTCTTTTGTTTTACATCATAGCTCTCCAATGGTTGGGATGCATATGGCCTGCAGTCAGGTTTCATCCTGTCCTTGAGAATTGGAAGAATCCCATAGTTAAAATTAAAGTATGTAAGAAGAAAAGTGTAATAATACTTTCTTTTTTTTAAGATATGTAGGGTGACAAGATTTGAATTTTAAATACAGATCTCTGTATATTTATTTTCAATATATATATATATGTGTGTGTGTGTGTATGTATGTATGTATGCATTTATTTTTGTGAGTATTACTTGCATATCCTTTATCTCCAGGATATCCAGGAGGGTAGTTAGGTTGATTATCATTTTTACTTCAGTTGTGAACTGTATAGATGTATGCTGATTTTTTAAATGATCATTGAATTAAAGCTAGGCAATTTAATCAGTTAATCTATATAATTATTTATCTGTAGGTAGAGATAACATCAATTAATGTCATATAGACTAATCAATTAATCAAAATTATGATTAAACTGATTGATCAAAATTAGTCTTTCCAATTACTCCAATATTTGATTAATCAAAATTCCAGTTAAATCAATTGTCATAAAATAATCAACTAATCAAAATTAGCGTTTCTTATTGTTATTGTTTTTTGATTATTCAAATTATCCAAGTAATCAAATATTTTATTATATATGTTTGTTGTTAAGAACAAAACAACATAATGTCATGGGGGTTTACCTTGTGATTTGAGGGTCTGACTTTTAATTCCCCTTACTACTAATCATGATCATCTTATTTTTGTTATTTCAAGGCTCCAAGGATATATGTCACTTTAACTAAGTTTAAACTGCTGACTAGAGAGAGGGCAACTGGCTGGCAGTACCCACTACAAACTCATTGGCTAAATAAGTGTTAAATAAATAAAGTGTAAATGTACTGTTTTTTACATTTTGTAATGTTTCTATTTTATGATTATGTAACTGTATTCTTTAATATTGTATAAGCAGGTGTGTATCTAGAGTAGATGTTTAGGAGTGAATCCCAAGTTCTCCCTCCCACTTCTTCAAAAAATGAATAACTTATTTAATGTTGTATAATTAGGCACAGATCTAGGTAGGTTCAGACACCCTTTCCATTTTGTTTTTTCAGA